GCGGCCCCCTGGTGGGGTGTGCCCTTGCCTGCCGGCGCGCTTGGGGCCCTTGGTATCGGGGGCTGGGCGCTTGGGCGTGTGTCGGCTCGGCCTGGTGTCTGCCTGGTGGGGCTCGGGTCCTCTGGCCCAGTCGGGCCTTGGCCTGGGTGGTGTGAGTCCTCGGTGCCCGGGCCTCGGTGCCTGGACCTGGACCTACATCGGTGCGGCGGGTGCCGACGGAGGCCTATGAGTTTGTCGCTGTTGGCCCCGGGGGGTCACTGTATGTGGTTGCTGGTGGGGATCTTCCGGTTCTCCCCTGTGGTCCGTTCTGGGGGGTGGGTGAGTGGTTCGTCCTGTGTGGGTGGCTCTGGGGGCTCCGCGGTCGGGGTCCCTCCTGGGGTCTTGGGCTCTGGTCCCCCCTTTTTCGTCTGCCTCTGGTCTTGGGGGTCGGGTCTCTGCTGCTTCACAGTTACTAATAAATGTTCTATTAGAGAAGCCTTATACACTTATGCATGCTCACAACCACACACAAATAGAAGCAGGGATGCTTATGTAGGCTTTAAATGTAGATATATAGATATGTATGTGAGTGTATATTCATGTGTATGTATGTATGTATGTATATAGGAGTAGGTATGGGTATATATATTTATGGAAACTTACTGCAAAGCCATGAATATTTTAAGTTCTTTATACATATGTATTTTGTTGCTGTGTTTTGTCATGTTCTTTGCAGGTGAACAGACAGTGGCCGGGTGTTTTGACGTGTGCTCTCTTTGTGTATATTTCTTATATTTTGGAGTCTTACTTTGTCTTTTCTTTCTTTCTATTCTATTAAAAAAAAAAAAAAAAAATAATAATAATAATAATAAATAAATAAATAAACAACAACACCTACACTAGATAGTCACTATAATAAATATTTCATAATAATGGTGTGGAGAGGATGGCTGTAAGGGGAGAAGGGAGGCCATCACAAAAAAAAAAAAAAGAGACAGTATGAAGTCCAACAACATCACTTTACTTTCAGTTTCACGCTCCAGTAAATCAGTGTCAGGAAGTGCTCCCTCTCTTTCAAATAAAACAACTGACTTGTGCTTTTAGAAGTTTTTTTTTTTTCAATCAACAACAACAACCTGAATTAGGAATGTGCGATATGGCACAAAATTCATATCATGATATGTATTGTGAAGGGGGGCGATAATGATATAAATTGCGATATGTTTTTGGTATAAAACTTGCTAAAAAAAAAAAAGCATAGGGTGTTCTTTTGCTATCATATATTTTGAATTAAGAAAATTCCACTACTAGGTCCAGAGTTTTTAAATAATAAACAAATCAAGTATTAGGCTTCTTTCTTGTAGCGCAAAACTGTGCAAAAGATATCAAATGTAGTTTTAGACACGTTTTAAACTAAAAAATATGTTGTTAACTCAACAGTTTCCAGTCTTAATTAAGAAATGAACAGCAACAGAGCAGCATTTTACACTGAAAACATTCACCCTCCAAACCTCTAGTTGGCGCCTCCTTCCGCTTTAATGGAGAACTGACACAAAATGACTGTGGCTTTGACCAGAGGGTCTCGCAGTAAAAACACACAACACAGTGTTTTTTTTCACAGATCAGAGAGCAGGTTTCTCTAAAACTGACCAACGCTTACTTTTAACTTTCGATGGAAAAAAAAAAAAAAAAAAAAAAAAACCTTCAGTTATCAGGCTCCTCTCACACAGCGTTTTGCGCATGCGTCAGAATACGACAACACTACAGCAAGCCGGGCGTAGTTAGCTTGTAGCTTCGCTACTTAGCCCTCGAAGAAAAGACTTTAACGCCACTTGCGCAGTTTTCAACTAAAAAAAAGTAACGATTAAACTGACAACTCTGATTTTACTTCAAACACAGCATTACTGCGGTTAGCCGGTAGAAGTCAGATCTCTATCGTAGGCTAAATTTCTATCGTTTCTACCGTATACCGTATATATTGCGCATTCTTAACCTGAATATAAACACCAAGCCAACACTAAACAGAACCCATCTGGACACAGAACCTGAAGAAGTCCATCGACTGACGTCTCAAGATTACCCAGAAGGACACGCGTTTCAAGTACAACATGTAATTTCATTTAGTCACACGGAAATTTAACAGTAACCCACAGAATTTACCATTTCTGTAAAATTTCATCATGTAATGAAACTAAAACACAACTATTGAAAACCATTAAAGTTAACTTAAGTGTGATGCTTATCCTTAATTTCTACGGGAAACTACATTTTCTGTGTGTATGTCTGAATTTACAGGTTGCGTCTGAATGCATCACAAATACTGACGTGGTCAATAAATAAATACATTAAAAAATAAAATAAGCCTCGCAAGGCCTTCCTGAAGGCTCAGAGCCCCGTTTTGTTCACACCCACTACATCAGTATGATTAATTAATTTTCCTGTGAGTTTTAAAACAAACCCAGTCTGCACAGCCTTTAATTGAGCTCAGTCTTCTCTCCTGACATTGAAGTCCTGACCAATGACAAAGAATTATCAAACATAATTCTGCGTGGAGTTGCAATCTTAAAACAATCTGATTGGATAACTGTATTTTTATAAATAAAAAAAAAAAAAAGCTTCTTGCTCAACTGCAAATAATTTACAGAAAATTTCAGAAGTTAGAGTTAGCAAAAAATAAGAGAAACTACATTTAAAATATTTATTTTAAATAAAATTAATATTAAATGTAACATTTCATACTTGCTAACTTCTTAGGCCTTCCTCGAAGGCACTGAAGGCCCAGAGTGTTTCCCACTGTTCTAAATCTAATTAAATTATATCATATTTATACTTAATTTTTAATTTTCTTTGCAAATTAGGCATAAAATGTATCAATTAAGCTGTGGATGAAATGTACACAAACTTTAAAAAAGTCTGAATATTAATATTATATAACATTAAAAGTAAAAACAAACAACGCATTAAAAAAAAAATTCTAATTATAGTAATATTTTGTTTTTATTGAGAAAAAAAAACCAAATGGTTCAAAACTAATTAACATTTTTAACTTGTGCAGTTATTCTCAAATGAGCAGAAGCCAAATAATCCCAGTTTTTTTTTCTGAAAATTTTTATTTTGAAATTCTGATTTTATATATATATGTATATATATATATATATATATATATAT